TAATAAAATATAAAAATATTGTTTATTTACCGAAAATAATAAAATATAAAAATATCGTTTATTTACCGAAAATAATAAAATATAAAATTATCTTTTATTTACCGAAAATAATTTTGTTTCGAAATGGGAAATGTGATAAGTTTTTCCAACTAAAAATACTATAACTTCAACAAGAAGAGTGTCACCGTGCTACCCCGTAGACGGGGCCCCCGGGGAAGCATGCCCGTCTCCGGTATACAGTGCCATGGCGACGAACGTGTTAATAGAGTAAAGTGCAATGTTCGATGTATCGTAAATAACTATTAATTAATCGAAAAGAATGTATATTATTATCTAAAAACATCCAATATATGATCGGAGTACTTTATTCCTCAAGATCCGCCATTAGACTGATACATTGTTCTCTATGAAGGTTCTTACATTTAATATTGTTTATAAGACTTTTCATAAAAGGAAATTTTATCTATTATGAATATTATTTTTATTATGGGCATACGCAACGTTCGGAGTGTCATGTAAACAACATTTAACAAAAGAATTTTAACAGAGAGAAATAACCCAGTTTTAGAAGAGGACGATACTTCGATCATATAATCCGAGCTTTTAGACAATATTAAACACTTGCATCGATTAATTAATAATTATTTTAACCCTTTGCACTCGGTTGTCCCCTCTGGTAGGACAATATAAGTGTAGCATATCATTCGGTTGTCCAAGCTGGTGGGACATGAAAGTTTATTAGCGATTACGGAGAATGAACTTGTTCCACCGCAATTTTTGAAGAAACACGTGTTTTCCTGTAGTTTTCTATTAAAATGGCACAAAAAAACAAATCGAAATATGATAAAATTGTCAAGATGCATGATAAATAAATTACCCGTTTTACACGTTGAAAAAGAAGGTGCAAAGATCGTTCACGACGGACTATACACTTCTCTAATCCATTGAGCAATATGTAGAATTAGTGTATTAGGCGTACAAAGGTACACGGATTTGGCTCAATGATATGGAAAAACTTAACAAGATAATAAAGAAATCTGAAACCTGAAAGAAAAAATTTACAAAAACTCAGTTCGTATAAAATAGATGTTGATTGTTTTTTGTAAATATGTGTTCTTCAATATCCACAAATACATATAAAGCAAATTTTATTACAATTCCTTACTTGGTTCTAAAATTGTACTGTATAATATCACGTTTCCAGAATGTACGTTTCCGCGAGAAAGTGGCGTCGAGTTGCTGGTAGGTAACGTCCGAAACGGTACCAAGTGCAAAGGGTTAATATTCTAAAACATTCTTCTTATATTACAACATAATTTAACCCTCATAGTCATCACTGCGCATGTGTGATAAAATAATTACATTAGAATGCAAAAAATGATATAAAAAACATTTCATTAAGATTAATTGAGTAGTTTCAAAGTTATTAATGGACAAACGTTGTGATACTGAATTTTTATATACATATATGATGAAGATGTATGTGTAATTGTATTTATTGAAAACTATGTTATCAAAAAAATTGGATGTTTCAGATACTGCCTGCGAATTAGTAAGCGAAAGTATGCCCTTACAAAGTGCACTAACAGCAGCTGTACAAACTTCATGTGGTGTAACGGAAATTTCACTAGCACCTAACTCGTCTAATCTACCGAGTAACAATGAACAGGTGGCACAATTATAAATATAAATCGACTAGCCAATTTCCTTCTACGTACGAATATAATTTATAATACGTGTATGTGCGCGTGTGTGCGTGTGTGAGTTGATATATGTCATCTTCGATAAATTCGATGAATTTTAAATGCACGTGTTTCGCGACCAAAGTGATCAAAGTGTTTAAAAGAAAACCAAAAAAAAAATTGTAAACAATATTCCATCGTAGATTAATTTAAATAAGAAGATTATTAAAAAAAAAAAAACAAACAAACAAACAAACAAACAAAAAACTTTATGAGACTGTGTGTAAGTTCTATAGAAAATATTGAAAAACATTAAAAGATGCAATATCTTTAATCGATGTTATTTTAAATCGTGAATTAATTAAGTACAAAGTATTTCATAATATATAAATAATATTTCGATTGCGTGTGTGTGTGTGTGTGTGTGTGTCTGTACGTGTATGTACGCATGTGTATCGTTTCAATGCAAATACTATTATCTTAATCGAGATATGATATTAACAATATAATTTGCGTAATCGATTCAATTTTCAACAGATAACATTCGTACGAATGCTTTCTCGTATTTTGCGTCCTGAATTTTCATTACTATTACTACACTTATTATCATATTAAATACAAAACACCGTGTATATACATAATATATAATATATAAAAATCATAAAAATCATCGATCAATCAATCATGATCATTGTTGTCGTTATTGTTACTGTTATATATACTTATGTATGTATATAAATGAATATATACGTATATACGTATGTATAAAAAAAAAAATAGATCCATGTATATTGATATCTACAATAATATATAAATAAAAAAAAAGAATTAATAAAAAACGAGTGTGTATTGGGATCTCTAGCACTTGAATACGCTATCTGGTGGTTAAATTCAGAACTTGAGCAGTTAGGAGGGATTGCTGACAGCTGATTTAAACTACACGATATTTATGTGGAAATATTTATATTTTTAATTTTATGACTTGCACCAGTTATTTCTTCATGTGGATTATCTTTAATATGTGAAGTTTGTAAACAAAAAGTTAAAATACTTATAATATTACAATCACCACTTGGTACTTGCCCACACTTAATCACATGTCCAGCATTTAATACACTTTCACCACCAACAAAATTTGTATTGCTTGATTTTGTGCAAGCAAATTTAAATATTTCTTGCAATGTAAGTTTCGTTATATTTAATTTATTTACAAAAAAATTATAATAATAATAATAATAATATAAATAATAAATAATAAATAAATAAAATATAAATAATAATGTTATAGACGTTGTTCTCTATTTTGGTTATACAAGTAATGCACAGTATCATCCAGTCTCTAGTTCATATTTTTGACGCTAGGGTAAGCCACGCCCCTGCCAGAGATCCTAATATTGCGAATAATTCGCGGCATAAAAACAAATAAAAACACACGAATAATTGAATGAAACTATTTAAAATTATTAGTAAATTTTCTTTACAAGTATGTATAAGTAAACGATATAACAATAATAATAGTAATAATAACAATAATATTAATAATAATAATAAGAAGAATATATAGTAATAATAATAATAATAATAATATTAACACACAAACGAAGTCGTCAATGTTTCCTTTTATTATGAAAAAAAAAAAGAAAAGAAAAAAGAAAGAACAAATTTAGCATTGTTTAAAATGAAAAAGTTCTATGAAGCATGGATAATATATCTTCATGTTATAAAAGAAAAAGTGAAAGAAAACGTGCTCGAAATAACATCGAACAGGTTTATACGTTCGTCTAACAGCGATATAAATTTAAATTCTCGAGATACTTTTTCGTAAAACTATCGGAAAAGGACAATGAACTTGTTCTGATAGTAAAAAAAAAAAAAAGAGAGAAAAGTAAAAGTGGTGTGAAAGTTCCTTTTTTCGTCATTCATTCGAATGTTATCGAATTTGCGATATGTTAGCAACTGTTTCAAACATTTTTCATCTATGTTAGATATATACATATATAATAATCTTGTTATATAAATATTTATTTATTTATTTATTTATTTATTTGTAATTGTTTGTTGTTACAAATCATATTTTCGTGTATTTGTTTATTATAATATTTCCCAATGTGTAATATATTATACTTGAAAAAGAAAAATGAATAATAACAAGAGTTATTGAAAAAAAAAAGAAAAAAAAGAAAAAATAAACGAGCAATACAGAAGATCTTGAAAAAATAAAAACAATAAAAAATATGCAATGATCTTTTTAAAGTAATATCAATAAATCTTTCTTTTCGAATGATTTTTTTTCTTAGCATTAACATTAAATCTATTTGGAATATATGTATGTATGTATGTATATTCTTCGAAATCAATTTGAACAAATTTGCGAATGAAAAACAACGTCTGTATTTACTCGTACTGTTTCTTTTTCTACCTAAATCTTATCGCATAATCGTCCTAATTGATTTCTTCAACGCTGCTATTTCTGTGTATTGAAAATTCTGCGATCTTGTCAATAAAAGATACAAAAAAAAAAAAAAAAGAAAAAAAAGAAAGAAAAAAAAAATTACGATATAATAGAATTATCTATGTGTGTTTTATTGAGTATTCAAGGAATCCTTTTAAAAATACAGGTGAGTACTCGGTATATGAATTTTAAATGAATGAAATTTAATTAATTACAAATTTCTAGAAAATGAATATTATATTATACTTAGATGTAATGTTGATTATTATAGTTTCTTCTAATAATAACTGAAATGAATATTTATAAATTCTAGTAATTTTGATTACAAATATTTGTTTGTAATAAAATCAATAAAATTAATTGAAAATTAGATTTTAAAAAATTGTAAATTAAAATGTAAGTAGTTCATGTGCATTAAAATACATTCATTTTATCCAAGCAGCAAAAAAAATGTAAAAGATAAAATTGTTAAAAAAAAAAAAAGGAAAAAAGAAAAAAAACCAAGTTAATCAGTAAATGCATTACCTAATTCCTCGTCTTCAACGTCGTCTTCAATGTCGTCTTCAATGTCGTCTTCGTCGTCGTCGTCGTTGTCGTCGTCAAAAGGAAGAAAGGAAGGAAAAATCGTTATCGTCAAGCGTCTTCTTAAATAGATTTCACATCGGCGAGAATAAACGCGTCATTTCCTGACTATAACGAAGAGAGGGGAGTTAAATATTCGCCATGTTCGACGTAAGTTTATATACGATCAAACATTTCAATATTTATGATTTTAAACAGTGGTGCTCATGAAACAGTTAAATCACTATCGATCGATCGATTAATCCACAATATTAACCAACATTTTCATCTTGATCTTTCAATTAAAATATAAGAAAAAACTTGAATTCTATATATAAATTAAATAAATTAATTGATCGAGTCCTTATTTTTTCAATAAGAAAATAATATTTATTATTATTATTACTTAAATAATAATACTTAAATATTTTAAAATATTTTGTTGGTTTTATTTTAACATTAAAATATTTCGCGCGTTTATTTTTATAACACAATCTATCAATGATATATATACAGTAACATGTATATGTATAAAAGTTAATATATTCATTAATTATCTTAGGAGCACCGAAAAACACAAACTTTTCTTATCTTTACGCAATATGATTTGAGTTGAGCGATAATAATAACAAATTTATTATTCTCAAGTCACTGTTCGTTCCTTCTTAATATCAGTCGTTCGAAAACGTTTCTACGAATTTAATCGGGACGTTTTGTCGTAGAACTTCTTGTCTGTTTTTAATATTTCTTTTTTTCTTTGAAAATCATTAAAATTCTTTTAAAACCACAATGGCTTTCACTCTGCGTCTCGGTTCTTCTATTGTACGATTGGTAAAGTATACAATTGACGTTTCTAATTCCTCATTGCAAGGACGAAACTAAACGTGTGTCTATGTATGTGTATATGTGTTAACAAAAAACAAAAAAATAAAGTGAAAGAAAAAGTTTAGAAGTAAAAAAAATAAATGAAATATAATCACGGAATTAAAAAAAAAAAAAAATTAAACAAATGTGTAAAATTTCTCGGTGTGTGTTTGTGGTAAACTGTTTCTTTTATTTTCTTTTTTATTAGAAAATTATTTAAATAATTTTGTTATAATAACACATGTTTTTATTCAATCGTATAAAATGTTGAAATGATATCATTTGTAAATAATTCAATGACCTTATTCCGTAAGATCGTTTTATCTCTTCTGTTTGTATAGTTAGAATTAAGTTAGATAAGAAAGTTACAGAGAAAACTTGTTGCCTATGAAGGAAAAAGTTAGTTCGAGCATGTTAAACGTATGAAAATGATCTTTCGACTATGTTTAGTAGTGATTCGTTCTACCTTTCACATTTTAACATTCTTCCAATCAAGTATTATGATATGGCTAAGAGCCAAGAATTTCATCACTCGTCAATTTATTTCGTTGAAAATATTTTGTTATATTATATCATCTTACTTGCCATAGAAAGAAAATGTTTAACTCTTTGCGACATAGAATTTCAGATAATAAAATAGTCCTATGTTGCATAGAAATTTGATTACATTTTAAATTAAACAAAATCTCGGCATATTTTTTATTAATAAAGATATTACATAATATAATAATGTAAAAACATAAAAAAAAGAGTTAATAAATAATAGTTTTGCGTAAATAAGACGAAATATAAACTTATGAGCATGTGTAGCAAAACTAGAAAGAAATAAAATGATTGAAATTAATTCAATAATTATACAAAAAGTGTATAATTATCAAATTAAAATTTGAATAGGAAAATATTGTCATGAGATTATTGGAAATATTTGAAATCGATCAGTGAACGACTAGATATATAAAATCGGAATATCCGAAAACAATGAAGAACATTTATCTATCGAAAATCGTTTATTGCAGAGTAAAAATGGTTGTACGTCAAAGCGACGTTTCCTGTCTCTAAGCTCTCTTCGATCAGGTACTATTGTCCCGTTTAAGTTATCGGACATCGGAGAAGGCATTCGAGATGTCACTGTGAAAGAATGGTAAGTAAAGTGTTATTTGAGTGATTTTATCCAACAACAGATCGAGACGTTTTATTTCTGTTTTTACTTATGATTTAGCAAATTTCTAATTAAAACTATTTCCAAATCGCATTCAACAATTATTCGAATAATATCAAACGTTCTTGTTTTTTTTTTTTTTATTTTAATGATCAATTAACTGTTTCGTTACTAGCAACCCATAGTAAAAATGTGACTCTAAAGAAAGGGTTAATCGTAAGAGTTATTCGTAAAAAATGGAATATTACTCATAGGAATTCCTTTTAGGTTTGTAAAACCTGGTGACAGAGTATCTCAATTTGATAATATTTGTGAGGTCCAGAG